CACACACACACACACACACACACACACACACAACTTCGCTTGAGAGAAGTGATCAAAACCACCAGGGGAGGAGTAAATTACCTATTCTATTCTCTCTCTCTCTCTCTTTGAATCCGGGCATTTCACCTAGAAGGGCCCCTCGCCAGGGCCCCCACCTCTGTCCACCCACCACAGAAGGCCTCTGTGAATCCAGTGTTACCCTCCCCCGCCCCAGTGTGGGATGAGGGTGTGAGCACTGAGTGAGACCCAGTAAGTCCACGGCCCATCTCACCCTCAGTCTCCAGACTGGTCCCGGGGCCTGTGTGTGCCAGACTGACTGGGCATCCGTGGGTCTGTCCGTCTGGGGAATCTTAGCTTGAAGCTGTTCTCAGAAAACAGTTGGAGCCCTGAGGCTGAACAAAAGTTTCACCCAACCCCAAGACTGCTGTGTGAAAAGTGGGGAACAGCAAACAAGAGCCCCCAAAACTCAACCCCAGTCCTCCAGTCCTCTGTGGCCTGGTGTGTGTCCGTGCGTGTGCTCCTCAATGCACAGTCCATCTGTGTGTGATTGTGCATAAGATCCAACTCTTTATACAGAGGGAAATCAAGAAGTAAAGGAAATAAGAGACAGAAGGGGAAGGGAGGGAGGACGAAGCAAAGGAAGAAAACAAGGAGGAAGGAAGGAAGGAAGGAAGGAAGGAAGGAAGGAAGGAAGGAAGGAAGGAAGGAAGGTACTTTAGAGGCTGACAAGGAATTCAGGAATCTATTTCCTGAACGCATTTTTGCATCTTCTTTGCTACCAAGCAGCTGTAATTCTGGACTCATATTGTTTTAGGTGCGTGTTAAACACATAGGCTCACAACTATCTCGAGTAACAGTCTAGAAGAGTAAAACGGGTGGTTTCTTTTGGCAGAAAGTGCTGGTCTGGCGGAGGAGCCCTCCTTCTTGGCTCCACGCAAAGCTGGCCAGTTTCTCCCCCGTTCCCGAGGAGGGGGCTGGCCCCGGAGCTCGGCTTGGAGACGGGAGAGACCCCTTGTTGCGCACAGAAAATCTCCCCCCCTTACTTACCTCGGGGCAAGGAATGGTTTTTAAACGACAGCGAAAGCTCTTCCACTTCTCACAGTTCTGAGACTGGGGCACTGGGAGAGACGCTGCCCTCTGTAAAGTTTGACTTTCTACACGTAGAGTCACAAAATAATTGTATTCGCTTAGGACATTTTTTTTTTACATTTTTCACAAGAATCCTTTTCTGTCTGGGGGAGTCTGCCATTCACTGCTTAGTTCAACTAAAACCTATTTACTCCTTTTAATAGCCACGTCTGCTGCTGATTTTTTTTTGTATCTGTACAAATTTTTTTTCTGTGCGAGGCACAAAGCCGGGCATTTTTTCAAAAGAGGGGATTAGGACATTTGCAACCACCAGACAAAGAGAATCCTGTGCAAATGCACACCGTAGTTTATCCAATTTTCGACTTAGTGCCATTCAACTGGTCATTTATGCAATGTCATCCGACCAAACAACATGTTTTACTTATGAGGGGGGAAAGTTTGTTAAGCAAAGAGAGCAAGATTTGTTTCTTCCTGAAAAATAAACATCTTAACTCGCGCAGCAAAACAATGGGAAGGAAAGTGTCCATACCCTTCAAGAGCTCCAGAGTCCTTGCCTGTTTACATTTCTGGTGGTTTAAAGTATTTTTGTCAGCCTTTCTCTTTCATATTTACTTATTCTCTCTTTTCCTTTTATTACTCCTACTAAGGCAAAAAGAAAATCACTCCCCCTCAGACCGGGAACACTCCGAGATACTAGATGAAACACAATAGGATGTGTGATGTATAATGTATCTATGTCTGTCGATAGGGACATCACATCGATACATGTGTGCTCCTGTCTGGTATCTGTGAATGTTATGAAGGAAGCTGCTCTAGCTGGCAAGTTGTTTTCTCCCACTCTCCCAGACTTTCAGTGGCAGAATGGAAAAGGGAAAGTGTCCCGGCTACATTTGAAACGAGAACCCAGGGAGAAAACCCCCCAGTCTCTTTTCTTTTATTTCTTCCTTTTTAAAACATTCATCAGCATATGCCTCATTTCAAATGCAACAAATGTAAATATACTTTTCCCTGCACAGAATTTTAAGTGAAAGTCCAATGGTTTGCAGGGCAGTCCAAGTCTGCCTAACAGATGCAAACTCTGTGGAGGCTTCAGTTCCATCTTTGAGTCCCCTAAAAAGATTTGCTATGGCCGACAAAGAAAACTGTCACACCTTTTCCCATCACCGCTTTAATTTATGCTCAGTCCCCAAGTTTTTTTTTTCCATATTGATTTGATAATCACTTTAAGGCAGAACATTTAAAATAAGAAAGAGCTGGTGAGTAGGTTGAAAGGAGGGTCTTACAGGCCAGCCGCAATATGGTGATGTGGGAGGTATTGGGGAGCTGGGGCTGTAAAGGTTGTTTTGTAAAGTGGGTTTTTATTATGCACCGACTCTCTCCGCATTTACTTAACTCTTCACGGGCTGTTGGCTAGGTTAACACCCTTCAAGGCCTCTTTCATGTCCAATACCTCGTTTGTTTGTAAAGGAAAATGAGCCTTTAACACATTTTGATTTAGGAAAGAGAGGGAGAAAGAGGAAAACAAAGACAGAGAGAAATTTTTAATTTTTCTTAACCAAAAATCAGCAAAGTTCTTCCATTCCTCCAGCTCCAATGATCACTCCATCCACTAGAGCCCTGAGGTCTACAGTGGGTGAAGCCGAAAGGATGCCCTCTCTAAGGCCCGCTTTGGATGGCTCTGTAGGATGGTTCTACATTTGGCATGCTATCGAAGCCTTATAATGGGCTCCATCTAAGTCCTCTGTCTGAAATGGCTCCTCAGCCCCCAAGACACCCACAACCCCAGACTTGACACTTGAGGTGTCATTTTCTCCACCCAGAAAGTGCTTGACTGTACGCCATCTGCACCTAGTGTATGGGCCTGGATAAAGACTCAAAAGGCCTCCCGTTCTCTTGTGCCAAGATAAAAGGCTTCCAGGCACTTTGAAGTGTAATATTGCATGGTGATGTCAAATGCATGCCTTAAGATTTATGCGACTTTGAGGTGGTGGTTTTCTTGCAAATCTGTTTTCCTAAAATTGCATTTGCTGGCCAGCTTACCCTTACCTCGATGGTTGCTTTTAAGGGTCTCCTGAGACAGGGCTGGGGAAGGGCTACTTGGAAATGCTTTCCCAGCCTGGTCATACTTAGCCTGATGGAGTGGTTTTGTTTCTTTTTCTTTTGTTAAGGGCTCTGTAGAAGCTCAGTGCGGGCTCCTTCTCAATGGCCAAGGTGGAGTGATAAGGAGAGGTAAGCGGGAACATTTTTGACTACAAACATCCTTGTCTTATCTGTTGTTCTGTTTTGGCGATCTGCCGGTGGTCCTGGTAAACATCGAGTCTCTACATCTGTTTATTAAGAAAACCATTGCTTCAGTCAAAATGTCCAGGCCTCTAACGCAGGCCCAGGTGCATGAAGAAAAGCTTCCCTTCTTCCGGCAAGACCAGGATTCTGGGCGAACATCGGAAATCTGATGCTAGGAGTTCTCCCCCCCCCCCTCCTCCATGGACCGTGGCACAAACAAAGTTAGAAGGGAGGAAATTAAACAAAACAAAACTGAAAAAAAGATGGAATGGAAAAACCTTCATGCCCCTCCTCCAATCACCAATACCGCATCTTGTAGCAGAATTTGGGGTCTCTTCTAGGTCCCTAATGTGCCAGCCAACGCCTGAGCGTTTGAGGTGCTGGTGTTCGCTCAAGGCTTTGGGAGATTTTGTGTGAAAGGCTAGATCTGCTGAGGCTGGAGGGGAGGCTAATGAAACACGAATATCATTGCGGCCTTATTTTTCCAAGTGTCCTGTACATGTCTTTCCTTCGGGGAGGGAGGGGGAGGTAGTGTTAAGTGTGCTGGAGAAAGCTTTCTTCTTCCCATCTGCTGGGGAACATCTGAATCCATAGCTACCCACAGAACTGGAAGGGTGCAGGGGGGAGGGGAGGAGAGAGGACGGAGCTGTTGTTCTCAGTTCAGTTCACCGAAGGGGGTTGCATCTGAGATGTTCCTTTATGACAAAAGGTTTTGAACTATGACTTTCACAGGGCCTCAAGGCAATACAGATTTCGCTAGCTCCCCCTGCTTAACTGTACTCAGAGCCTCTGAAGTTTATTTTCCTAGCAGGCTGGGTAACCCGAGGAGCAGACAAGGAGAGAGGGACCAGCTGTTACCCCAACTTCATACGAATTAATAAGCCATGGCCTGTTCACCAAGACTAATTCCTGCCCCTGCCCCACTGCTGTCTTTAGGAACCAAACCACGAAGGCTGCGTCCTTTCTGATGGTACCAAGTAAATACCCCTTCTCTTCTCTCCATTTGTGTCAAAGCTACTTGGATGGTTTGCCTCTCTCTCTCTCTCTCTCTCTCAGCGAGAGAAGCAAGCTGGAAGGTAGCAGTGGCTTCTTTTCTGTTTAAACTGAAAATTTCACAACCAGATACCCAATAGGAGCTTTTCAATTCAACAAGAAATAGAACAAAGGGTGCTTTCCTCTTGGAAATAGGCTGTTGTGTTGTTCCTGGAATTTACTTTAAATTTTAAAGAGTTGTTCAACTCTATAGTACCTTTCAGGGGTTTAAAAATGACTTCATATATATATATATATATATATATATATATATATATATATATATATATAGTGTGTGTGTGTGTGTTCACTGATATTGCTCCATGCAGATTTTTTTTTTAAATATGAACGATTCTACATTTGCCAGCTAGGCCAGGAGCGAGTTTGCAGCCACTTGTAAAGTGTTAGGAAATAGGCCCAAGATGATTGAATGTTAAAATTAAATACGCGCACTGGTGGGCAGGTAAGGAAGTACCCCGGGGCGGGTAAAAGCAGAGGTGGGAGCCTTGGCTCGCGGCGCCCGGGGCGCCCGGGTGGTGCTGAAGGACAGCTCCTCTCATTCCATCCGGAAGCCAGCTCCCGCGCTCGCCTGCGCTCCTGCAGTTTGGTTTTGTATTTGGTATTTGCTAGAGCCTCGTCCTCTCCAATGCTTGAACCCTGTGTGTGGTAGATGTCAGGGGGTGGCAATTGGAAGCCTGGGGCAGGAACCCGAGGACTCAGTTGTGAAATTAGTTAAATGTACAGGGAGAGACATGCGAACACCCTCACATCTCTTTCCATCCTTCCAAGGGGCAAAGCAATGACAAAGAAATCGGGGTCCCTTAGATGACGCCCTTTATTGTTCTTGTTAAACTTGGCCCCTGTTCCCCCTGTCTATGAAAAATCTTGTCTTCACGTCCTGTCTTGCTATTTCAAGCCAAGCATTGAGCGTGGCAGTTCTGAAGGTGTAGCAGGTTTGTGTTTCTATTCTTCGGTTAGTTGGGAAGAAGTCATTCCAGGCTCTGTTGCTAAGGATGACATTTCCGGCTGTCTTGGAGAGAAAGGCCAAGTCGAGTTCCGGAGCGAAGGATCTGTCTCCTTGTGTCTGCAGTTATCTTGTGTTGAGGATCATGGGCGCTGGCTGCCTAGGAAATGCTGCTCTAATGGGGAACACATTGTGCCCTGGCTTCTCCATTTTTGCCGACACACTTCGAAAGCTACTTCTCTCTTGTGTCCGGATTGTGCAGGGGACCAATAATCAATAGCTTGGATCACCTCTGCTCATAAAAATTCAGGAGCCTAAGTCCCGCGCCGGTCTATGCTAGGCTTGCTCACAGAAGCCTCTGTCATCCCAAGTGGAGCAGGGGTTTGGCCAGGGTTTTCTCCACACAAAACGGGATTTCTTGCAAAGCATTGCTTTTCTATGAATAATTTTGCTATTTTTGCCCAAACAATTCTTGGATACTTGTACATTGCTAATCAAATCCAGAATTTAGGATGGCAAGAAAAACAGTTTTCGCTTCCCTCAAGACCCTCCCTCCAATATATTTTTTCTTGAGGAAAAGCACAGAGGCATGTGGTTCTGACTGGAGCTGGGTGTGGGGTGTGTTGTCTTGGTTTGCGGTGGGTGGAAAGGTGAGACTTGAACAGCTATTCTTTAAATTTGGCCACTTGGATGCCTTAAAATCCACCTGCCATTTTTCAGAGTCACTTTATGTCAACTACATAGGGTTTGTTTGTTTGTTTTGTCTGGAAAGGAGGCCCGATAGTCCAAAGATGCTCAGTGAGAGAAGGCACAGGCGAAGTAATTACCACCTAGATAAAATATGTGTTACCTCAGTGGTGAGGTTGAGCTGCTCCCGTGCTGGCTCGCTTGCTCGCTCGCTCTCAGTTAATGGTGTGCGTGGTTTTGCCCCAGCCCCCGCCACTCCAACCATCAGAACCAATAATCTTTACTCTACCCTGTGCTTGCCTATCGATAGCTTCTTTAGCCTCGGGCGTCGGCTTTGATATGTTAATATTTCTGAGTAGCAAATTCTGCAGAGATCATATTAATGTTGTTCGTACAGAGAGGAGCTTTGCCTTCCTTGAGTATTCAGATACGGGGGTTTCAAAAGGCATCTCTTGAAGAAATGAGGCTTCTATTTACAGGAGTCGTCTATGTTTTTAATCATTAAAAAGAAAAAGAAAGAAAACCCATTCTCCCCACCACCACCCCCTGAACCTTCTGGGCCGCCCCGACGGCCCCCATCCCTCTGAGAGACGCCAGTCCCTTTCATTTCCCGCTCTCCATATTTAATACTAAGAGCAATATTGACAAGGACCACGATGATGAGCTTAATAAGGCAGGGGCTCGGTGGCGGTGTCAGGGTAGGGGTTCAAGTAGGTAGGAGGCTGTGGCCTTCAGATGGAGCTGGAGTAGAGACCCAGTCATTTCACAGAGCTGGTGGAAAGTGACATTTTGGCCCTGTCTTCTTTTGTGAAATTGGAATGGCACTCTAAAAAAAAAAGAAAGAAAGAAAAGCAAAGAAGAAGAGTTGGGGGGCTGGATTAAAAAGAAGAAGAATAGGGAAGGGCCCTTGTTTCCCTTTGTGATCGGCCAGCCCAGCAGCCCGGGGCTAATTTCAGAAGCTTAAATACTGCCGTAGCCCCTGGGCCACGCGGGGCCGAGAGCGACCTGGCCTCCGGCGCGCAGGACACTTTCGGATCGCCCGTGGCTACACCAAATACAAACTACTTTGAATCAAAACATTTGGGGGGGGGGATTAATATGAGTTGAACCCTGTGCGGTTTTTCAGCGGGCTAGAGTTTGTCAGATCGCTTAAAGGTGCTTGAAGGTGGAGGCGTTTACAAACACTGTCCGATCGGATTTAATTTTTTCCAGTGCTTCTCGGGATGCAGCCTGGGCTCCATCCCCTCCCCTGCCCCTCCCACAGTCTGCCTCTGGGGCGTTTGGTGGAGCTGACCCCTCTTCCTTCTTGCCACTCTCTCCAAGGGTGTCAGCAGCCTGGGCAGGAGACCCAGCCTGCCCTCGCCCCTCTGGGGTCTTGCAAACGCCTTGGGCGGCCACATGCTGTGCAGGAGCAGTCCTGGCTTTCTTCAACAGCTTCTGGAAGGGGTGACACGGGCTGGACAGGGCCTTCTTGTTCCCTCTCCTTTGTCAGCACCTAAGTCATCTCTTTAGCTCTCTCCTTCTTGAGTGAACACAGAGCCAACAGATTGGCCTGAGACTGCAGGGTTGAGATCCAGGCTCTTTCCTCACAGGAAGTCTGAACTGGGCCCCGTAAGATCTGGAGGCATCCTTTGTTGAAAGCTGGTCGGAGGGCAGGTGGGTGGGTGGGTGGGTGTGCTTTCTCACGGCCTCCGCCCCTCCTCCCCAAGGTCCTTACTTTGAAAATTGCCAGAGCTCTGAGCTCAGTCTGCTTTGCCATCCCTCCCCACATGCCCTGACCCGTCCAGCCTTAGGGCCCTGCGTGGAGCTGAGCCCCAGCTTTTGTTCTGCTAAGGATCAGCTTGGGCAGGGGCGGGAACTCCCCCTTCCCAATAACACCTTTAGTAGTCTTGTCTCCTTCCTCCAACTGCAACCCTCGGATACCTCATCAAAGGCTCACTTGGTGGCAATCAAGCCCCCTCTTCCTTTGCTGTTTGATTGCAATTAATATTTGCTGCCGTGAGGGGGTGGAGGGGTGGGGATCGCGGGAGGAGGTGGGGGGGAGTTCAGGAGGGAGAAAGATCTCAGGGTAAGCATTCCTGGAAGCCCCGCCCCAGCATTCCCCACCAAAGAGCAGCCTCAGAACAAACAGAGGCCGGAAAACCCTTCTAATCGCTTACACATTTTTAATGTGTCAGGAAAAGGGAAAAAAAAAAGAGCGATCACTGGAGATGAAGAAGGAAAGAGAAAATCCCTGCCGTTGGTATTTCTTTCATTTGCATTG